ATTATCTCAGAAATGATCTAATAAAGACAGGACAGGTTAATAGAATAAAAGGCCTTGAATAGAACGTGTGCTTATACATAAAATATAAACCTGATCTCACATGTAAACGAATCATTAGGATGTAACGATTAAATGTTATGGCAAGCAGATCCTTAACAACTGAAATGACCCTCATATGTGTCGACAGTGACAATTGGCTTCTTATGTTCAGTCTGATTAAAATGTCAAAGCCTCTGACTTAATTCATCCCGGCATTTGTAAGATTCCACATGAAACGGCCCATTATTTGCTCAAAGAGGAAAGACAGATTACACAAACTTGACTAAGCTGATATCAAAAATAAATATTTCACGAACTCCCTTAATCAGAAAACAGCGCGCCGGTCCATAGAGGAAATAAACAGCCCACTGATTCTGTCTGAATCATCTAAATGGTGTCAATCACAAGTGAATATGGAGGGCCCCCGTCCCGGCTAGTGATGACTGATGGCCCTTCAGTGGCAACTGAGACGCACGGAGCTGATTGAGAGAGCTTATCTTTATGGTGGAGCCATGGAATTGTTAACAGGATGTGATGGCTTGCATCCGCTGAGTTGAGCTGGGAAATAAAGCTGTTGGGCTCGAGCTGCCTTGCCATCATTCACAGAGGTAATGATCTCTGTCTGGCTCAGAAGTAAGTAACAGTCTGCCCACAGGTTAGTGAGGGCATGACACAGCGTCGCTGACAAAGTTGAACTTGGACAGATGAGCACAGGTCAGTACACTGCTATATTTTTTTGATACATTTAATAGGCAATTTAATAAAGATTAGAATATATTGTAAAACCTAGGGTTCATGAAGTTTTTAAGTAAGAGGTGAGCAGCCATGGACATTTTTAGATTTTTCCTTATGATCCAGGAATAATGTGGAGTAGCTGCAGAGCAAGATGACTGCAAAACTAATAAAGAAAAAGTCCTATATGTCATTACACCATGGCATTATTTATGAACACACAGACAAGTGTTCACAATGAGCGCATATTGTAAATGATGGTGTAGATGATCAAAATGGAGGCAGCTGTTGAGAGGAAGCAGTCAAAGATCTAGCTCCACTCAATTATCTTTAGCAGGATAATTAATCAATTCAGTATGCACATCCAAGTCTCAGAGGCGTCTTTGAGATAATTGTTCTCATTGACTTGAATAATTATTTGTTTGCTGATTTAATTATTTTCGCATTTGGAAAACAAATGAACGTGTGCTGGTACATACTCCATTTTTTTTTCTTTTGATTTTGGTAGGTGAAATTCATAAAATGTACTGTAGGTGTGAGCATCAGACTAAAACTATGATGTTACGATAAATCCTGATTCACAGTGTCTCGTGAGAAATTAACTGCAACCATATTCACAATTTATGAGTGTTTTTTCTTTTCTAGAACCCTAACCTCAACTTGAAGAAGGTCAATAAAACATGAATTGTTTCTGCCTCGTGGCATCAATACAAACTACACTGAATCAAAGGCTAATATTTCTCAGCTATGAGGTCAGCCCTGGGTTACAGACAAAGTGTCTTCACACAATGACTGGCGTGTTGAAAACAATCGTCGGAGTCCTCAGTTCACACCATTATGAGTATGAATGAGACCTTATGGCTACTGCAGCAAATAGAACAAATTATGAGGGCCATTTTAATGGCACTCACTTGTATTTATCATGCCGTTTTAAATGTTTTGCTCATTTGTTTCCATTAAATATTTCATCTTCCCTTAAATATTCATTTAACTTCCTCTTTAAATTTTTTACCAGTCTCTTTGCAGTTGCTATCTTCTTGCCTCCCTTTTAGGCTTTGCAATCATAAATAATTATTCATCTACACCCAGAAAGAGATTGCATAAAACATGCACATGAATCCTTTTTGTCTTTTCTCATTAGTGATATACTTCGAGTAGCCTAAATACTTCCCGCTACCCCACTTATGGAAATTGGTTGGAGAACCTTCCTAATGATTCTGCTTCACAAATAGGTTATGCCTCCATCTCTGATCTTAACGTTCATCCCTCCTTTCATCACAAAAGGAGGGGTCTGCGACAGCATCTGCACTGAGATCTGGAGTTCCTGTATTACTTTTAAAAAGGAAGGAATCGGATGCATCCTGAATCAGACAATGCTACTTTAGATTTTAACTACTAGGCTACGGTGAAACTTATTCTGGTGCCAGTGTGCTAAAAATCTCCTTATTACCATATTTAATCATATTTTGCATTTTCAATTCATCACCAAACATCTGGATGAATAACTTAAAATATAAAGATGAGATAAATTTCAAATCAAAAGTCTTCATCAAATTCCCATTTTTATGCTTAGCTTTTTTCCCCCAAAATTTAGGATATCCGGCTGTTAACTTTCTAGAAATATTTAGGATAAATTCTTCTATCCCTGCTACATGTTATGCTACAGCCTGGCTCAACAGATTTTTCTTGGCTAAACAGGCAACATTTGTCTTAATTTGTTAGATAATTGCAACATGACTCATTAGCAAACAGCACCATGGTGGAAGGTAGAGGGGAAGCATAAACTCTCAATTTGACTGGATTATCCTTTTGTGATGAGGCCTAATGATCCAACAGAGTAAATAGCAATGTGTTAATTAGAAATCACACTGAATGATCTGCTGCACACTGAGGAGGTATTAACCAAGCAGCATCATTATATTAGATCTATGGGTGTCTTTTCTTTTTTTACCATGAGGTCTGAGAATAAAATGGCAATTATAATTATCCCCAAAAGAGAAATTATAGTGCATTTGTTGCAGCTGACTCACTTCTGTCTGGAAGTGAGTGTTGCTGAAAGGTCTTAAAACTAAATAATCTAATATGCTCGCTTCTGTCTGGACGCATTCATCAATAAGGCCTGCAAGAATATCACTATTTAAAAAAAGTGTATTGAAAATGTATTTATTTCTCAATCACACAGAATTTGCTAAATTCAGATAAATAAGCCTAAGTTAAAACTGGTTCTCATGATTATAATCGTTTTGAAAAAAAAATCTCCTAATTATGTCTCAGACAGTTTGCTTTTCACAAGGGTTTGAGCTATGGCAGATTTTTTTTTTTTTTTATAAAATCAAGATAGATCCCCAGACTGCATCATTAAAGTAAGCATTTGCCTCCACCTAGTGGCAAAGATTACACACTGATAGTGTAGTGAAAATCAGACTCAAATTATATTGGTAAAAACAAGCATAATTAACCACACATTACATTACATGTAATCAAACAATTAAAAATCTGATATTTTTATGCTCTTAAATACAACCAATATATCTGTACATGTTTACCCACAGCCATCTCAGAGAAAAAAGTCCACACTCTTCAGAAACAGTTAATCACAGATTTATAACTCCAGCCTATATGTGCACTGCCAAAATACACTGACAGTACTACTAGCCCTGGTCTCACACATGCACTAGGCTACACTGTGGAGTTCTGCTCTCATTTTGATACTTACACATTTGCAATCGTAATGGGCAATACTTATAGACCTCCAGTAGCAGAAGAATGCTGATCTTTTACTTAATTACAAGTAGCAAATACTATAATGTAAAAACTCTGCTACAAGTAAAAGTCCTGTTTTTAAATTTTACTTCAGTAAAATTATAGAAGTATTAGCAACATTACTATTACTATTTGTTATGCAGAATGGACCCTATAATATATTTTATATAGTTGGATTATTATTACTGATTAGTCAAATGTATGCAGCATGTTAATGTTGTTACTAGTCAAGGTAAGGTTAATTTTCACAACTTTATACTGTTGGGTTGTTTAACTAATAACAGTTACAGTTAGCAAAGTAAAATGTGCAACTCTGAAATTAAGTTAACAACAAGTACAAATTAGCACAACATTATAATATTCAAATAAGTAGCTTCCCTAAAAACTGAAAGCAATTTTTTGTGAGTATGGCTACATTACTTCAGTAAATGTACTTTCCACTGTGAACCCAACACAACATCCACCACAGGAACAGACCTATTACTACAACTCACAATAAGTATAATTAATACCATAGCTATCCCTGCTTGTTATATGGAATCACAAAGCTGCAGTCACTATTTTGCAGATTAATAATGGAAATTTAACTTGGAAAGCCAACCCAACACTTCAAAACATCAACAAATGATCACTTCCATTGTCAGCAGAGGGCAGTGAAACCTTGCTGAGGCAGTGATGCCTCCACAGTTCATGGTAGGACCAAGACTGGCAGGGGTGCCAGGTTTGCTCATAGAGCAGTGAGAACCATTAGCAGTGTTGAGGAAGCTACTTTGAAAGCATATCTTTGCAAGCTACCACTTACTTCACACTGGAAGAAGTTGAAACACAGCAAACTACGCCAGGAAGAAATATAGTTTAGTTAACTAAAGCTACTTAGAAAAAGCACAATCCACGGGGGCATGGGTATCCTTCACAGTAGTCAAGACGAAAGAAAAATGAGGCAGGGATGGTCAAAGGTGGTTCAATACAGTGGAGAAGCAATGGCAAAATAAAAAAACAAATCATTCCTCTCTTTTCATGACCAAAAGCGCTTATAGTTTCAGTAGTTAACATGCAAAAATGGCAACAATAGACATATGAATGTAGTTGAACTAACAACAAGCTACTGCAAAATGTTTAATTACATGTACTTCACTACTTCCCAACACTAAATATTAAACTCATATATTATCTGTTAATCTTTATCATAGCCTCTAAATGTAGTTATGTGACATATTTTGAAATACAGCTGGGGAAAATTTTACTTTATCAACTTTGTTTTGAACGTTTTAACTTGAGATACTGAAAATACGTGATATCTTTGGAATATTCTAACATAGTAAAATGATGCAGTGAAAAACGTTATTATTAAGAGTATAAGAGTAATTGTGTGTGCTTTCGTGGGCTTTGTGATTGAGAGTTTGCAGTAGAAAGTTCAGATACGAACCTGAGGGAGACACAACTGGCAACTCCATAGAAGGCTGGCTACCTCTAGCTGGAATCGTAATTACAGAATGCTTCAGTTAGCTAGCGTCGTTAGCAAACAACAGTGTTCTGTCTTTACATTGCGGAGATTGTTGCTGGAAGACCCTGGCTATTTAAATCAGCGGATACTCAATTAGTACTGTACATGGATCCATGGAACGGTTGTCCTAATGTTCTGTCGTAGGTGACAACTGCCTTGTCTTGATTTTATGGATAACAGCCGGCGTCAAGTGGACAACATTAGCCTCTTTTTCTGTGGCTAAATTAGCTAACTGTAGCCCATTAGCTACCGTGACCAACGTGTGTTAACGTTCGCAGGAGACCAGTCTAACTTGGAGGAAGGAAGGAAGGAAACAAACCGATAAGTCGGATCACCGCTGCTTATGCAAAGCTAGCGCAGTTTTTGGGCTCCCGAGTTCACACCGTGACGCATTTAGAAAAGGTGACTATCTGTGCACCCTGTGTGACATTTCACACTATTTGGTTAATAAGATATGCTGTTAGTTGGCGTAGCTAACTGTCAACAACAGTCCTCCCGGCTAGCTGTACAGGGGGAAAGAGCTAACACGCTAGCCACAAACTCTTAAAGGAGTTGTATAAGTTAGATTTAGCCATCTGACTAATTTAGATAACTTGCAAACGGCCTTTTCAGACGTTTCACAGAGCGGACTCTTCACTCTGATCCGCTTTGGCGACAAGAAAAACATATGGCATCGGATGTGATTGAGAGTGAAGCGGTGTTGAAGGGTGTAAGTGATATGAATTTGAACAATAGCAGCCCAGATTTTGTCACACCCAGGAAGAGTCATGAGGAGCTGGGGAACGGACAGACTTCCAGTCCCTCGTCTTCTGGGGTGTCTGGAGAAGGTGACGAGGAAGAATTGGAGGAATTACAAAATAGCACAGCTCCTATGGTTGGAAATGGCGAAGAGGCACTTCAAGAAAGTCTAACCAAAACAAGTGGTACGCCACAGGAAAGAACAACTCCAGACAATGAGCAGAAACAGCCGGGAGCAAGGAGCTCTACCCCAGTGAACCTTCCCCAGCCACGCTCACCATCTGGACCCACTGGAAGGTCTGTATGTGTACATTTGAATGTTTAGCCTACGTGCTGGCGATAATTTTAGCTAGCTTCTGGTTTCATCTCTTCATTACAAGAATGCTGTTCTCCCAAACTCCAGCACCTGATCCAAATGACTGGCTATATTCAAGTGAATTTTTTCTACTGTACTTCATTTGAAAGTTCTTAGGCAGGCCAGCGATCCTCTAGCGTTATTGCTAATCCCAGTGCTAATTGTTAATATTTGCTTTATTTGACTAAAATTCGAGGACATGTCGTTTTGCAAACCCTATGGCATTCCCCCATATGTAGACTGGTTAGAAAAGCAAGTAAAGCAGCAAGCTAGACCTAGGCTGGTATGACATTTATTTCCTGAACATTATAGACGGGGTCGACACAATAACAGGAATACGCTGAGTTTCATGTTATTTTGTCATCTGTGGACACAAGCTAATAAGATTATGTGACATTATAATGCAATCTAATACAATAGCACTGTAGGTTTGTACATCAAAAATAACCACTGGGTAAAGTCAGACTTCTCTAACTAAATAAACTGTCACTAAATCTAAACAAATAAAAGGAAACTAAGCTTCAGAAATGTATTATGTTGTAGGTCTAGTTAATGGACTGCATGATATTGTACAAGTGTGACTGTCAATATCTCAAGTGTCTGTAGGTTATAGTAAGTAACATCTGTGGACAGCTCAGCAACCTCATATACACAGAGCAACACATGGCGGACCTTTGACAAACTTATAAAGAAGATGACTCTGTGCAAAAAAGAGTGGATCCTATAATTGAAGTAAGTATATGAGAAGGGTAACACCTGGACAGCAGTACAGACTGATCTTATGATCCTGATCTGTAATCAAAATCTATACACAGATTTGCAGTTGTCTTGACATCTCTTTAAAGAAGTTAGCATAAAATATTGTCACATGCGAACTGTGTTGATGGAAGCCTTAACCAAGAAGTGTCAACATAATCACAATGTTTCCAAACCATCCACCATTGATGTGCTTCTTCATTCAGTTCATCATTAAGTGCATTGTCATTATAGTTTTAAAACTGTCATTTATTTTTTTCTTTTCCATTGAACTCCCTAATGTGGCTGATTCCACTTACATGCAGCCAGGTCCCAAGTGCACTTTGACTGCAAGAATTCCTTTTCAGGAAACCACATTCCTGTGGCACTCATACCTCTCTCAGTTGGATTTGAAATGTAATGTGGGGATTAGTGCTATACATAAGCAAACAGCTAAACTGATACATTATGAAATGTTGAGTACTAAATGCCCAGAATGTTTGTGTGTCTGGGAGCACAAATACAGTCGTGCATGTGATTAATGCAGCAAAGGGAGCTCTGTACAGCAAAGATATAGATACCATGATCGGCATTAGTAAGTAGCCTTTTGGTTTATAAACTAAGCCCTTAACACAAGCTTGTAAGCTTTTCAAGAAGCCAGTGATCTGATTATGTGGCCAGCTGCAAGCCTAAAGTCTCGAGGACACACTCATGCAGCATGCAACATGCATCAGCTATGTATAATTTGTGATTAGCACTGCAACACAAATCATCTGTCCAGTAGCTGGTGCAATGAAGGTTTCATGGTTGTTTTCTTCTCATGTTAAAGTATGTGGCTTGTTTAGAAAAGGTAATAAGCCCTTATCACCTGTGAGGACTACTGTGATGGTAAAGAACAACATACTACTTAGTATATAGACAAACAAGGGTTTTCCCTCGCTTAATGAGGTGGAAAGTAAGGGTAGGATTGACCACAGCAAAATGAAAAGTGGTTACTTACCCTTTATTTTACAGAAAGTATTGGAAGTTTATAATATAGCCAAAGACACTTTCTCCCAAATATTGGGTTTATGTTCAGAATTACACTTCAGACAGAATTCAGATAGAATTATACTTCAGACAATATTTCTAGCTGTGAGACCAAAAACTATTTTTCAAGCATTTTTAAACCAAAGATTGTGCTTAAATGTTGCAAAATGTGCTTGACAGGGGACATGGTCATCTGTCATGTCGTGCGCATTGTGACCAAAATCTTATGTAAAGTGATGCAAATTGATTTTGGGTGTTACTGACAAAGTTGTCACTGAGCCAGTTTATATGAACAATTATAAATTTGTTTGCCTACCAGAGGAAAGGTATTATGAACCATAGACATCAGCAGAGCATATAATGATACATTGAGACACTGATAAACTGAGTTGTTTTGGAAAACTCAATAAAACCAAATTAACCCCTTCTTTAAAAAATCTCCTATGTATCTTTCTTCAGTATTGTTTAGCATTTTCTTAACAGAATCTACCATATTTACAACACAAAGACCCTTATTTGCAGGGTTTACTATCATGCTTTTTTGCTGCTTGAGTCAATTGAGTAAAAATGTGTCTGTTATGTTTTAATATTCCATCACTGTTCATGTCCATATCCAAGAACTACATAAAGGTTTTAGTATCTGAGGTATTAACCTAAGAACAAAGATTGCCCTTGACTCTTGGTAGATCAATACAATTTCAACGTTTCCCCCATAATCCTTTGAGGATTGTACAAGTCACAAGCAAGTGTTGACAGATAACCAATTGTATGTGTTTGGATTTTGTTTGTCACGGATAATCTTTGCTTGCCCTGCTCTGGTTCCTTAATACATTTGTAGTACAAGAGAGTCTTTTAGCAATTACAGATCATTAAACATAAAAGATGGCATAACCTTTTTTGTGTTTTCTTTCCCAGCCTGGAGCGCCAAGAGTCAGTCGCCACAACAGAAGCCCGCCTAAGAATGGAAGGAGTTGAACTTAAGGAAGAGTGGCAGGATGAGGACTTTCCACGGTATTGTGTTTATACATGTAATGTTGTAAATTATCTATGGATCATGGCTAAAAGCATTCTATCACATTCTTGTGTTTTGAAAGTCACATAAACTATACACCTACTGAAGACTTGATCACCTCATGTTTGATCATTAGGCCCCTACCAGAGGAGGAGGAGCTTGAAGATGAGCTTTTTGCTGGGACCTCTGAAGACAGAGACCCCGGTAATGAAAACAGAATAGTATATGGTGCATTACTGCTGTGACACAGGACAATATTAAAGGACATTTTTTCGAGTCTATCTACAAACTCACATGCCCCACATGTCTGTTGGGAGAGCAACTGGTTGCTGTAATCATTCCTGTCCATTCTTGTTTGATCTTGCTTGTGCAAAAAATGCATTTGAATGTTCAGCCAAAACTAATCTTAGGCTTCAGCAGTCTGACCAGTTAGCCAGTTCAAAAGAGTATGCTCCAACACAGTATTTTAATACAAAATCTGCTTGGACAGCGTTTTCTTTGCTTAGCTCGAGTGCGGGGAGAGTAACACAAAAAGGGAATTACGTAGTAAAGACTAGCACTGGAAGATAGCACTTGGTTTGTATAACCCAGACTATTGAAGCCTCGCAAGCACTCTGGATTTTGTCACCAGTCTCTTAAGTTAGAGATGCAATGGGAAAAGATTTCTTCATTTGCATATGAGTATTTTTTTTTATAATAGATTGAAAGAAACTGAACCTCTATAACAAACAGTATGACTACTAATGTCTTGGTATCTACCCTAGGCTATGTAATGGACCATGGCAAGAAGGCAAAGAAAAAGCTTGCAGCTCCGGACATCAGTCTGACACTTGATCGCAGTGAAGGTTCTCTTCTCTCTGATGAGCTGGATGACAGTACAGAGCTGGACCTTGATGACATTGATACACCCTCAGACAACAGCAATGAGTTTGAATGGGAAGGTAAGGACCTTATATCATCCGGTGACAATGATAACAGTTTACATCCTAGAATATATTTAAACCCTATTTGTTCCAGATTTTTTTGTTGATACTGAAGTCCAAAAAGTAAAGTTGACTTGATGAGGTGGGAGAAGGAAAGATACTTTCAAATACCAGTTTATGGTGACGTAATTTATTTCTGAAAAGATTTATCCTTCTTGGGTTTATTCATTGGCTTGTAACACAAAAGCAAGTGTGTTATCAAACCAGTCTTTTATGTCCTGGTTCCATTGGCATTTTCTATCCTTGATTTTACAAGTTAAGGCTGACTGCCTAAAGTGTAGTTAAAATATGCTTTGTTGTTTTTGTGTTTCCACACTGCTGCCTTCCTCTTTTTCACTTGGAAGAATTGTTTCCATTCTCTGCCTGGAAACAGGCTGCAGGCCAGCAACAGGTTTCTCTCTTCCCTGTGGTAAGGTTTCCTGGACAGCCCATGTTTTTTTTTCTGCCAGCCATGAGTCAATCAACCTATATTGTCCAGATTATTTCGTTCAGACAAATCATGGGATGTGTCATGTTTCATACCTTTACATTTTCAGTCAACATTTTTGTGCATGATATTTTTCCTTTCCCTGATTATTCCTGCATTTGAGAAAACAATCAATATGAACTTGGTTAAGAATTGGTTTAATAAGTACTCTAATGGTGCAGTTATCAAATAGGAGCCATTTTAACATTTGCTACATGTGTGCTGTTTTATGATTAGTCATTCATTGTGTAACATTTTACAGGATGTCACACATCACAAGAAATTGCACCATAGATAAATACATCATAGTGTGATAAAAAATATATGCCTAATTAATTTAGCCCATAATTGCACATATTGCATTTACATTTTAAATGATTCATTTGGTGCACAATTTCATAAACAATAAACATCTTGGTTATTTTCAACCTCAATGTCCAACAGTCAGAGACCACTTTCCAATTCACTTGAATGGGTTGCTTTAGATACATGACACATGAGTGTATGCTTTACATACATGATTCACTCGAATGGGAAAGTGGTCTCAGACTTTGGGACCCCACTGTATGTGGATCACACAGTGCTCCAAACAAGAAACGCAGATCAATGTGTTTGATTCAGTATATGTAGGAAATTGGCCGCTCACAGAACGATCCTCGTTGTTGTGATTTTGTTCCATAATTCCCTTTTCAGTTCTGCCTGTTGCATGCTTTACGTATATGATCATTTGAACACTGTGCTTCATGTCTTTATGATGAGCAGACCTTGTGCGCATCATGCAGCTGTACATCAAACAGATGCTCAGAATTCCTCATTGTGTCACCAGTGCTGCATCACTGTGAATTGAAAGATTTATTTTTTATTATACCCTGACATGACAGGCTTATGCAGTACACTATAATTGCAGGGTGTCTCCCATTAAATTTTAGATTTTTCCCAGGAAAATGCTGACCTAAGAGAAGGGGACACATGGAAGTCAAGGTGTGATTGTTGGTGTTGATTGGAGAGAAAGCATGCCATCCAAATACAGGAGATAAATGCACAAAATAAATAAATGTAATGTTACTGCCCACTGATTAAAATGCATGTGATTGAAAAGGTAAATAATGAATAATTGACTGATCTGAAAATTACATCAAGTATTTGATCAAAATGGAGCTAATTTGGCAAGGCAACCCCCAGAATCAATAGCTACAATATCCAAGCTGTGGGTTTAAAATGCCTCTTCTCCTTTAGACGACCTCCCTAAGCCGAAAACCACAGAACTACTACAGAAAGGTGTGGAGTCAGTTCAGGAGTACTCAGCCTTGGAGGAGAGGGAGGAGGGTCGACGCTGGAGGGTGTTTCGTATCGGAGACCAGGAACACAGAGTGGACATGAAGGCCATTGAACCTTACAAGAGGGTTATCAGCCATGGAGGTCGGTGGCATTACATATATTATGGCACAGTCACATAAATCCAGTCATTTTAAGTAGTATTTATGTAGTATACTTAAGTGTATTACATTTGTGTTTTTGATAAGTGTGTGTATTCAAAATAAGAAGTAAAAGAAATGTTATGAACAGTTTTGATGATGAAAAAGTGTTTTGAAACTGGAACATCAATTTTTGATGTCTGATTTTTCACTGCAGGTTACTATGGAGATGGCTTGAATGCCATAATTGTGTTTGCTGTGTGCTTTATGCCTGAGAGCAATCAACCAAATTACAGATACATCATGGACAATTTATTCAAGTGAGTGTTTGTTTGAATTCCTTCGGCCTTGTGAGTGAACATTTTAGAGCCATCACTAATGGGGTTTTCCTTTCACAGGTATGTCATCGGCACACTGGAGCTTTTGGTTGCTGAGAACTATATGATAGTGTATTTGAATGGGGCAACGTCTAGGAAAAAGATGCCGACTGTCGGCTGGCTCAGAAAGTGTTATCAGCAGATCGATAGGAGGTGAGTTTCAGTGGTCACAACACTCAAAACAAGTAGAAACAGCATCATTATATTCATGGTTTGATTTAAATTTTTAACGGCTCATCTCACTCTTTTTTTATAGGTTAAGGAAGAACTTGAAGTCTTTGATAATTGTTCATCCCTCTTGGTTTATTCGCACCCTGCTGGCACTCACAAAACCTTTCATAAGGTAACATAATGTTTCAGGTCATTATAATGATAAAATAAGGATTGTCTAGGGTAACCTTCAGAGTCTGACATTTTATTCTTCTCTTCACAGCTCCAAATTTAGCCAGAAAATCAAGTATGTGTACAGCTTGGCAGACCTTGCAGAGCTCGTTCCAATGGAGTATGTGTCCATACCAGATTGTATCAAACAGTAAGTGTATTTCACTCAACCACATCTTCAGCACTTTTCAAGCTCAGTTTCACAAGACTTGATACATATGGCAGTTAAAATGTATGTATACTGTATGCCAGTTAAAATTATATGGGTGATAGACATATTGTTTTGAAAAATCGTGGTGGTTCCCAGATGAGGGGGAGTTGTTTTTTTTCTATATTTTACAACTATAAACCATCGGGCAGAGAAAGTATACATGGCTGCTTACGTGAATTAGTAAATAAAGGAACCGTGACCACATAGGTATAGGCTGCCTTCTAACCTCCTCTTCAGCAGATTTCATCATGTCCTCACAGGACTTGGTTCAATACATAGCTGAAACAACTCCGCAAAATTCATTTGACCTGCCTTGTAGTTTTTCCTTTAAGTGGGTCCCAGATTCTAGTAGGCATGGCTGCCTATGTGGCTTAATCATTTTGTGCCCTTACACTATCAACTCTGACTGATCTTGCAAAATTGAATTGCCTTTTGCCAATAGGTGGTGCTACAGCAACACTCTGATTTTCCTGTGTGGCCAGTGTAGACAGGATGTCAATGGTTATGAGTCTGGCTCATTTGAGATTTTGCACAATTTGTCTTCGTTTGAATTAAGTATTTTCCAAAATCATGGATGCTGTCTGCCCAATGCCTATAAGCGTTATCGTCATACTCACACCATGATGATAGAGAAGAGATCCAGGTGCCAACTACAAATATCTAAACATTTCCTTTTGTAAAATAATACATTTGGAGCACAGTTTAGCCTTGGTGGGCAGTATGCACTTTCCAGGTTCTCTTTAAGTGTCACTATTACTGCATCTAAATGTACTTGTCCTCTAAACTGCTGTTAAAGAATACATTATTTTCAAGTGTTTAACCTTTGCTGATGTGCATTAGTATTGAGCTCATGCTGAGAAATTACTCATGCTGTATTCTTCCTTGATGTGGCTTAACCTGAGGCGGATCTTGTATTCTTGTGGCAGTTGAAAAGACCTCAGCACAATACTCATCTTATAAAATGTTTTTGCTTCTTTGGTTGTTTGGTTGCTGTTGGCTGTGTATGTCTCCTTTCCTTAACTCAATTTCCCTACCCTCCTCTTAAGGTTTGACGACGAAAAAAATAGGAAAAACCGTAAAAGGTATATGCACTTTCACCTAGGATCAATCTCAGCATTTTTTTTTTTCATTTGCATTTCACAAAACTAACAACAAAATTATCCGTTGGCTTTTAGAAATGCACCAATACACCTCATTCTGCTTGGTGTTTTTGTATTGGATGATACCTTCTGGCCAAAATCCACTTTCCTCCTCAATGCCCCACATTTTCCTCTTAGTAGATTTAGGACATTCCTAATAAGCAGACTGAGTAGCTGTTTGATTGATTTCCAAAAATAGGTGGCTTGGTCATTGTTTAACTAAATAAATCCCATTTCCAAGCCAGTTCTGTGAAGTTCAGCTCAAAGCCAACTCATTCAATTTCAGCTATCTGTATGTGGCTTAAAATACACCATGTACATTTATAAGGCTTAGTTTTTTGGGGTTTTTTGCAAGATGCTGTTTCTTCACTGTCATGCCGACTCATAAAGATTTATGAATTCATGTGAAGATGTCAGTTTATTGCATTACTACTTTCTGATGTGAAAGTAGGGGCATCAAGTAACACTTACTCGCATGTGTCTTTTTAAAAACCAGGTTTAGAATTTGATGTTTTTGATGGTGGGTAAGTTTGTTCATGTTTGTACAACTGAATGGGGTGGAATTACAAGGAAGTAGCTCGTCTTAGTCACTGTGGTGTGTGGTTGCACTGTAACCATGTCCTCAACGACATGGTTCCCCCTCAGTAACTTGCCCTCACTGAAAACTCAGCTTGTTCACTCTCACAGCTTTTTGCATGACTCACTGCATACCCACTCCCTGCTGATGTTTGGTAATTACCACAAACCTTTGTCAGCCTTGCTCACGGACACAAGAATGTTTTGCTCATTACTGATAAGTAGTGAATGTTCAGTTGATGAGGCTGTTAATTTGCATATATGTCGTGGGATGTAAGAACATAAGAAAAGTGTAAAACCATGCCGTCTTAGAGGGCCCATGGTTTTGTAGAAGAGATGTGGTATTGTGTGTTTTCTCAGTGTATAAAAAACGTCCAATTAATTAGTTGTTCTTAGTTTCTAGGTCGATTGACAAACTTGCCAGACAAATGCACTAAAAACTTACTCATTGCCATGGAGTTCAAGCAATGTCTTTCTGACAGTATTGACAAAAACACAGAAAAGTTTAATGATAGAGAGCTTAAATCTATTACAGGCTAACAATTGCATTAGATTGTTAACAGGTTTGCTTACTTTACAGTATATTATCCCATTATTATTAGTATGAAATCTACCACTTTTGCAGTGTGCTGCAGATAATGAAAGCAGTCTGTACACTGACATGAAGTTTGGTTTTCTACAGTACATATTTAAGTTCACATTAGTGCATTTGTCTTACAAGGTTTCAAGGGAAGTAAGAACCTCATAATAATACAACTGATATTGATGGTTTATATTGCCTAGATCAGTGGTTCCCAACCTGTGGGCCGCAAAGCTATTGCAAGTTGGCCGAAAAATTATTTTGCAAAACAATACAATTTTGGTATAAAAAAAAAATGTATTATAAAAATTAGAAATAAGTAATGTTTATGAATGTTTTAAAATGAAATTAGCTTTAAAAATGTTTAAAAACTCCTTTCATTGTTTTTTTAAGGCCTATCACTGTGATAAGACAATGACAGGAACTTTTATATTGTCACCGCTGGACCACATTTTATACTTTTGCTATCGTTACGTTGCGTTACAAGATTACATCCATGGCGAATCAAAATGTATAGCTGGTTAGCAACAGGAAGAGTTAAAAGCAAAGAGAGTCAAGAGACGGGTGGTGAACTGACAAGTGATTTATCTTTTTGTTTATCTATTAAACAAAAAAGAAAGTCCTGAATGTTCAATCGCTATCATTAAAATAAGAAGTGCTCGGAGAACGTAGTATTTTTCCTCTGTATGGGGTCGGATGTGGGCTACCAACATTTTTGAGATTTTCAAATGGGCCATGAGTTGGAAAAGGTTGGAAACCACTCGCCTAGATATTGTGTGTTCAATAAAAAAGAGCATGCATAATAAATTGGGGAAGTTGTTATGGGTGGAAAATACAAATAGACTTATTTATTTAATTTGTATCAGGAAAATAATTCTGGTAAATCAAAAAAAATCACGCATTGTATTTATAGAAATATTCTCTCACACAAAGAATTTCCTTTGTCACGGTGTAAAGCTCATAATCACATTTCAGGATGTGATTATATGAGAAGTGTGTTTGTGGGCAGTGTAGTGGCCTGTTATTACATATCCCAGCCCTGTTAGATATGATGCCATCACATTGACGCAGACATCTGATGAATATTGAATCTGTTTGCAGGATCGACCAGGACATGCATGGCAAAGTGGAGATCGCAGCTGCCGCTGTTCCAGAGTGACCCTGCTCACACTTTAAGATGTGGAGGGGGAGAACGATGAAGAATGTTCAGAACTGCAGCCACTCTTATGTTTATGTTCTGGGTGACGCGACTGGAGACTTTAGATCTTTGCATCAGGAAAGTGCCTTTTTGAAACTATGCTGCCTGTTACATTGTGGAACTTTTTGCTGTATTTCTGTGTCAAGCAGCTTGATCTTCAGCATTTTTTCCACATGCTGTCTGAAATGTTTTTAATCCTTTTTATTTACTGCCAATATATCATGTCAAACTTAGTTTATTGATGTTCCCTAGTTACTGTTGTATCTACACTTTATTTAAGGCACTCTGTTACAAATGGTTGATGCATGCTCTGCTTTATTACATTTAAATATATATTTATATTCAAAAGGTGACAAAGGAGAGAAATTAATATATTTTTATGGTTGCTCTGATTTTAAACTACATTTTAGGTCTCTGACCCACCCACTGAGTGGCATTTCATAGGACAAGATTTGACAGCACCTTTTTCACTGTTCACTGCTGACGTTCTCTGTTAAAATCCTGCCTGGGGAAAATAAAGTTTTATTTTTTGCCCCTCACTTGAATGTGCCCTCTAACTTGTAGAGGGAGAACATTTGTGAGAACAACAGTCTCAAGCAAAGATGTAGGTCATAACATAACACTATTTCCTCCAAATCAAGTCACGGGCCCTGTTCTTCAAATGTGGCTTAACTAATTCAGGCTAACTGGCTGAAATAATTCTGTTTATTCTCATCCAGCTAATTTGGTTCTTTGAACACAATTTAAGAATTGATTTATTTATCCTGGATGAAGTTATCTTAAATCACAGTGCACTCTTATTTTGAAATAAAAGCAAAATGAGCATAGAAGTGAGACCATGATCTGCATTCGTATGATTGGCTGATCATGTGATTGCAGTTACATGAGGTAGGTGTGGGAGTGGGGACCCTCCCAGCATGCACTGGGGTCTTATTTCATGTTTGTTCCTCTGTTTTTATAGGTGTCATTTTGTTCTACATTGTTCTCCACAATGTTTTCATCACTTCCACTCTTAAACATTACTGGTGAACATGGTTAGACCATGAGCAATGTTGGTAGCTGATTGCTGGCAGTTCACAGTGGACATGCAAGAGATAATCATAAGCCTTCTATTAAAATAAAACCTTCCTGAAATCTCAGTTTTCAGCAAAGTGAGAACTGCAGCTAGTAATAAGTTTAAGTTTTGTGCTTTTACCAGTGGGAATCTTTCAATTGAGTTTACTTCTGTTTGCTCACAGTATATCAAACTATGTTTTGTATATTTTATCATGTATACATATGTGTACCTATAATGTAGGTAAGTATTATGAAAATTTAGTTGTAATTGCAGCAACAAATCATAAAGATTTCTCAATAGCCTGTGTGTTCTCTAAAATCACATTTGTGTAAATCTAAGAAAGCAAGACATGTATATCTGAAAATGAGTTCATGTTTTGGGTTCACCTGAAAACCTGGTCACGATCCAGCTCACTCTCAGTAACCTGCGCTCAGATTTGGACTTGAGGACTGCAGATTTACTTTAAACCAGCTTCGAAGAACCAAAAAGATTCCAGATTCATGCCAAATCATCGACATTCTTCTCTGGATAACTCAGTTAGCCTCGTATGAAGAACAGGCCCATTGATCCATATCTATGCTTTTATTCAATTTAGTGCCTGTTTTGCAGTGGTAACAAGATGGAGATAATTATACAGCAGCACTAAAACTGAATAGCAACCAAAAGGCAAGTAATACAATTATTATAGTTTTTTTTTTTTTTTTTCTTATTGTTTTGAGCTCTTCCTCTTAGAATCCAGTAGATGGCACCACCAGTACAGACTTCATGGAAATCAAATAAATAATGGCATAGAATATAAGAAATATACATAACATGATTTATATAAATTCAGTAACAATACCATTAAAATTCACTGAGCATTATAAAAATTGCATAATATTCTGACAATAATATTGATGGCCACAGAACATAATATTTTGTCAATAATAGGAACAGAATTTGTCAAGACGGTTCAGTAGAAGGTTCTGTATGGATTGCCTTAACATATTTTACATATTTTACATTTCAAATGATTATAAGCATTACAAAGTGGTAGAACATTGATCTGTTATCAGTTGGCTGTGGCCTAAAGCTTTGAAATGCAGTGCTGCCTCCACACATCTAATGGCAACATCATCGATCTCCGGATCAAACTTATTTGCAAAGAGTTGTTGTTGTCTCAGGAGCCACTGGATGTCACCAGCTCCGTACACACAAACAGCTCGTCTGTAAGCACCAGTGCAAGGATCGTACGGGGCTCCTTTTTTAACATCTCCTGCTAAATAGCTCCACTTCACAACACGAGCGAGGGCTTGCATGTCTGACATATCATACTTGATGTTGGCAGGAACTGATCCGGGAACTGAGGGCATCCTCTGTAGAGTGGCCCACAGGTGCTCATCTGGACTGTATGTGTCCTTCTCCCACTCCAGAAGTTTCTGGACCTCTCTGTCCCACATCACGTGTTTCACAAAGGCTCTTGTGACCACAAAGTAGGCATTCCCTGAGAACATGGGGCTGTTAATGGGTGGAGGGCTTTTCCTCTCATTTGTCCGGTCAACAGTGTTGGTGACATTGTGATGATACTGCCAGCGGCCTTTCTTGTACTCATTGGTGGCCTCAGTCTCCATGCTGTTTCTTCCATTCAGGGCCTTCAGGGCATTAACCATCTCTCCATTGGTTTTAAGGGGGAAGTCTGTCCCACAGGTGTTGAGCAGGTACCTCCACTGGATGTGCGAGTTCAGCAGGTCTTTCATGCAGTTCAGATCTGCCTGCACTCGGGACCATGAAGCATATACCACGCTTTCTAATTTACTTGCTACAAACACATTGGGAAGACATGAAATGATAGCCTTCACAGCCTGCTGAAATTCTTTCGAGGATTTTTGGTCCACATGCACGCAGTAGATGTTCTGAGGAGCATAAATAGCTCGTAGAAGTCGCTCAAACATCTCAATCTTCTCATGGATCACCATGGAGTAAGCAATGGGAAAATCCTTCTCCTCTTTACTGAGAGGCACTGTAATGAAACCTCTCTCTTCAATGTAAGCTGGACAGTCCTTTGTCACATTCAGGTAGAAATCCTCAGATAAAAGCTTCCGCTTTTTCCTAGATGCCAGAAGTATTTCTAATTCACTTTTCTTGTCATGTATTTCTCCACTGATGATAGCTGAGCAGCCGGGAAGGTCAGTAGAGAACTGCTGTGGTATTTTGAGATCAGGCATTGACTGCCTGCTTAAGCTAGCTCTCCAAAGGACAAAAGAAAAGGATATACCCATGAGGATGGCACAGAGGGTCCTCCGCAACATCAGGCCCTTCAACAACCCTGTCATCCTTAAAAAAGTCCTGGCTAGTGGTGCCAACAAAACAGGTGGCCTTGTCCTCAATGCAGGTTATAGATTGACCAAATGGGCAAAGGCTGCAGTGCTTCATGTAATAAAGGACTGCAAACTGTATCAACCCTAAAAGGAGGTGTGTCAAACAAAGGTGTGGAAGGGATTTCTTGAGCATACCTACCAATAGTTCCTGAATAGGATCTGATCTCTTGCATGTCCTGGTGGATATATCAACACTTCAAGGATCTTTTTGCTTTGAGTTGTTCCAGTGGACAACACCTTCATGATACACACATCACATTGGTACACTTGGATTATTTTCTATGTAATTTTATGATACTCTACTGTGAAATGACACCATCAGTTATTCTCAGGATAGCCATTGTACAGTAATGTAGCCAGTTTTCAAGATGTACTGGGGGCATTAGGTAGAATTTATTTCATTTATTTTTCTATTTACAACAAATCATGCAGATTTCAGTTATTACACATGATACTGTTTCACAAATCTTACACAATTCTTTAATATCAAGTAAAAAAAAAGAAAAGGTCATATACATACATATACACAACTATATGTATTTATATCTTTTTTTTCCAGTCACAAATGCCTCATCTAAGAATGTGAATTATAAAGATACAGGCACTTCGTAGAATAAAATAAACACCCAGACTCCAAAAGAAACATACCACTACATTCTCTTCTAAACATTAACTGAACTACTTTGAATTCACCTGTCAGTCATGATATTGTGAGCATCCACAATACATTCCTCAGTTACAGTAAGCTCCGCTTTGGATGTATCTAAGATTGATTGAGACAAGTGCTCTCATCCACATCCTGGTCTGCGTCAGTGTCCTGCTCGTGGATGAAGCTGTAACGTCGATAGACTGATCCACCTCTGCTGGTGTACACAACATCCACCTCGTCTCCGCTGTCTGGCTCGGGCACACCGTGCGGCATGTTGATACTGGCACTGCCACTCAGTCTTTCGTAGCTTTGACTCCAGCAAAGCCTTTTCCTAGCGTGAGCTTTGACCAAGGCAAATACAGCCAGAGCCAACCCCAGTGCTAGCAACAGGGTAATAGGCAAGGCGGCCGAGGTGTGATTCAGAGCTCTGGAGGACATGTTCAGGTCAGTCACCTGGTCATTACCTGACTTGCGTTGGGGGGCTTCCACACACAGAGCTAGAACACAAAAAAAAATGACTTCAGAAGATTGTTGCGTCCAAAGAAACCTGTGTTTCTTACGATAGGCAAATCTCTACCTGAGCGGCTGTCGCAAACACAGCAACCAGTGTCATTCCCTCCAGCCTGACAGCAGCGGGCACAACGGTTCTCCACAGCGTGAAGAGCAGAATCACGGTGACAAGTCAGACACTGGTCAGCTCTGGGGCCGGTACAATGCTTACACGAGCTGTCACATGGCTCACAGGTTTCCTGTCATGGTACAATTGCACAAATTATTGTAAAACGCAAATAAAAGAAAAACATTGTCAGCAATGTGGACTGTTTGGACAGAGTGACACAGGTGTGCCTTTCATTGACATCTTGTTGTAGACAGATGCTTTATTAGTAGTATCGCTTTATAGCATTAAATATTCATTATGAACTCAGTAACAACCAGAGGCAGCATTTGGAAAAAAAAATCCTTACTTATTATTTTATTAAGCATTTAACACTCATGTTATTCTGATAAAGTAATTTGCTTCATTAGAACTGTGAGTTGTGGTTTGATTAGATTTGACTTACAGGAGTCAGGCAACACACAACTTTCATCAATTATTGCTACATTCTGATTGGTGCTTAAAGTATGTGATGTCACATTTTTCCAGCTGAATCAGTATAAAGAATACAAAAATACAAATATGGAAACATCTGGAATAACCAAATATGTTCTAAGCTTTGCAAACTTTTCCACACAGTAAGAAGCTGGATGAGAAAATACTGCATGTTGTCAAGGCCTTTAATCATTAACTTAAATATGACTTTGGAATGAGCAAGACATGAGATTAGGATCTCGTTTATAAATACACCAGCCACTCTCCACCCACTTTTATGATGTATAGTCACTGATTTAATGAAAAAAATAGTGTGACTGGTTAGAAGTTAAGAGGGAAACACTTATCCTTTCCCTTTACGCAATAAGAGTTATAATAAGAAAAGCAATAGGGTTCATGAATTTGTAGCTCAGACCACACCTCTTCTGAGAAGTACCGCCCCTCCTCACAACGTGGATAGCAAACTTTTTCCTTCAGAGTGCTCCCCCAGTCGCATGTCAGGCAGCTCTGGGGTGAGGCATCTGCAAACACACATACATACACATAATGTCACATCTTGTGTAAAGTGAAAAACAAATGAACAGTGTTGACACATTAGCAAGATATAGACTATAGGTGGCAGATGTTAAGCTAATCACTGATATCGGAATCAAACCACAATGACTGCTGTAGTGCAGAACTGTTGTTGCTTTATCTGTACCTGTGCAGGTCTGACAGCTGGTGTGGCACTGTTTGCAAACGTCACCGAGCCGATAGAAGCGGTGAGGGCAGCGCTCAACACACAGCTTGGTGCCTTGCAGCTCCAGAAGAGGAGGTGGACAGGCCCTGCAGGACTCAGGCCCTGGTCCCGTACACAGCTCACAGGACTGGTCACATTTCTCACAGCGGGAGCCGTCTTTGTAATACCTGAACAAATGTGTGAAATTAATCAATATCAACCAGTCAGAAAGGTACATAGACTGTTGATTCTTACAGACATCATTTAACGTTTAATAAGATTCATAAGCATGTCTCCATCTATGGCAAGCTCAAAATCAAAAATGATAATTATCAGTCAACATAAAAAAATAAAAAAAAATTCAATATGAGCAACAAAATCTTATTCAGGGACACATTAGGAATTGAGAGCAAAATGGCAGGCAGATAAGCTGCTCATATTCAAACAGAAGTGCTCTGTGGTTTTAGATCATCAGTGAAAGGGTGGGGAGAAAGTCAACAGACGATTAACAGGGTTGTGGTTCACCACAAAGTAAACATTTCTCATCCCATGATGTAGTACCCTGTGGGACAATGGGTCACACAAAGTTGAAGGAGGTGCAGGTATGCTGGGGAACAGGTGAGGCAATCTCTAGGCGATGCCCCAGTGCAGGTGGAACAGACGTGGTCACAAGGCAAACAGAATCCCAGCTCCTTTCCATCAGCTTCCTGCCTTGTGTCATATGTACCAGACGGACACTCGCTCACACATGTGCCATCTGGAAAACAGCACACAGACAAATTACTACTCACTTATGCACTCTTTTATACTTCTTTATTCTTCTTTCCTGTTCATCTAGACACTTTTTTTTGGCACCTAACTAGTTCCACGCATACTGTGTATAGCAAATGTTCTCATAAACCTCCTTTTCACGAAAAAAACAACAAAAAAAAAAAAACACCCGCTTTAGAACTGATCTGGCTGTCATTTGTTGAAACTGAAGGCTGAGGACACTAATAGCACTAATAATAGTGATCACACAGGTAGTAAATATTCAACTCCTTTTAGTTCTTCAGCTTTGACTGGCACTTCAGCTTCTTTCAGCACTTACACTTCAATATCAGTGGCTATTTCTATAAAACACATTGCAAAGACTCCGCAATTTGGAATTTTAAGTGGTACTATTTTTTTCAAAAGCAGTTTTCCACATAAAGAAGTGTATTTAAATTTAGCCACACATGTCCATTATCATCAGCAATGTATCCAGCTGTTGTTATCTGTTGATCAGTTACCAGCAGCTGTTGAAGTGACACTGAAGCTGTGATATATTATCATGAAAGCCTTCATCATGTAGCCAGGTTACAAGCTGAACTGGGTCCATCAGCTGCAAACACTGATAGAGAAAATCTGTGACTCAGGCAAGAATTTCATGAGTCATCATTTTAAAGACAAAACTGTTATGAAGAGCTGATAGTTTGATGATATGTGGTCTTGATTGGTTTTGTTATGCGGCTGGTTTTTGTATATTTCACTTCTGTGCGTGCAGCTGAACATTAGTAGAAATTGCTCACTGTGAAGGTATTTGGGGATGGCACATGTCTGGCATTCATCGTTGCCCGGCCCCTCACAAGAGTAACAGTGCCGGTGGCAACCCATGCAGGTGAACTGGTCTTCGTGTAGGTAGGTCCCCGGTGGGCAGTCTGTGTCACCTGTCACGCCACACAACAGTGTGTTTGGATCCAACACGAGTCCCTTCTCACACTGAATGCACTGGTTTGCGCCTGAGCCGGAACAGCTCATGCAAGTCTGGTGGCACTCTGCACATAACCAAAGAAAGTCAGACTGCATCACTGAAATGTGATATCATTGCATTTACAAAAGAGGGTGTGATCACCACCATTATTTTAGAGGTACCTGATTATCATTTTAAATAAAGACTTTATTATCACTAAGCTGGAATAGCTCTGACAGATCAAACATGGTAGTGACGGTTGTTGCGGCTAATGTTGTGTTTAAAGGTTTCCACTAAGTCCAGCTTGTTGTGGCAGATATCCAATTCACTCATCACTTCTTTAGATATACAAGTTCCACAATGTATTGTGCTGAACACTCAGTAATAAAGGTATTACCAGGTATTGAGTGATTTAAGTCACTTGGGCCTTTATTCTCATGGGATATACAACTCATAAAACTGGCTGTTAAATACTTAGCAAACAGTTTATATGTACACTGTCTGTTAGCTTGTCAGTCACATGTAAAGCACTTGAAATAATAATTTAATATATGGAAAGTGCTGTACAAATAAAATGTGATTTGATTTGCTTTGACTCTATTCTTTACGTTCTCATATTTTGCTTTCTGCTATTCTCTCATTTTATTAGAGTGTCTGTTCAACCATATGCACATTTACAGCACATCCAGGGACTTTATCAGGACCACAGTCTCCCATCCTGAGAGCTGTTTTTCAACTCCTAGCTATAACTAAAGCCAGTAAATCCTTCCCTCCTGAAGTTTACAATGTTCAGTTTTTGTTGAAGCTGTTTTAGAGAGGTACTGATTCGACTGTCTCATCA